CCCACAGCCCAGGCTGGTATTGTCATCACAGAAACGCACAGACCAATGGGGCAGAGAGGAATGTTTCTAAAGGTGTTTTCTGCTCTACGATACATCCAGTGCAGTGAGCGGAGTCACACAAAGTGTCGAACAAAGCATATGAAAAGGTTGATGAAATTCTTAATGTACAGTTCAGACTATTTTAAGACTGATGCAGTTCCCCATGGTTCAGTCAGAAGATACTCATTGGATTTTTAGCTATGCTACTTATTGTAATAGACTTTAAATTGGGCCCTTTGATAACTTATGTCTTTAGTAAAATCAGAGATGTGCTATTTGCTCTCTGAGTAACTTTTTCAGACTTCTTGGAAATTGTGAATAAATATGTTCTTTTTGGTTTTTTTGTTTGTTTGTTTTGTTTTTTTTTCCTCCAGGACTTCAAATTAAGCTTTTGCTTTTTATTAAATTATAAAGACTGGAGCCCTATTCATTCTTTTGGCTGGATTCAGCCTATAAAGGTTTTCTTTTAACATAGAATAGAAGTCAAACTGAACAAAATCTTGGGCATAAGCTGGTGTGTTGAAAACTGAGTATTTTCAAAGCTATTTAAGAGTAATTGGACATCCGCGTCCCTTTAGTATTCATGGAAGTTTGGCATCTGAATGCAGCAGACAGCTTTGAAAACCTGCCAAGTCTTTAACACTATACATTCTGATATTTTCTCTTTGTTTGGTAGGAGTGGGTAGGGAGATTTAAAAGAAAAAATCTTGTTGGCATTTTGATGTGAAAACTCTCGATGGAAGTTCCTGGAGAGAGGAAAGGGAGACCAGCTCCTCCTGCCCCTGGGTGTGGGGATACAGCATGATGCCTCCACAGAGATCCTTCTGTATCCCCAGTGTCGCTGGGTGTGCTGTGGAATTAAATGCTCACAAGTGTGATGGAAGCCAAAGATGTTTAGCTGTCCAGATGAGAGCAGAACCGGGCCAAGTGCCTCTCTTACGTATTTTATTTTGTCCTGGTAATCGTGTTCCTTGCAACAGTGCTCAAAAGGGGCCATGCTGTGCTTGGCACAGTCACATATAAAGTAGCAACCCATCCCTGTCTCAAGGAGTTTACAGAGAAGGGAATGGATACTGTTTGATGAGAGAGCCAGAGTTGGATAATGACAGCAAATAACAAGTTAGTTTTATATTTTCAGTTCATTTCTTCTGCTGGAGGATGGCTCGATAGAGGGTAAATGGAGAAGAAAATAAAGGCAGAGAAGGGGACATTGAAGGAATGGGTCCTTCGTAGCAGACTATGCTTTTAGGACAGTAGCTTTATATAGTATTTGGCTCACTGTTGTTGCTGCAGCATCTATTCTTTCTGCTGTTGTTTTCCTGTATACCAGGTGGTTCGTCTACTCAACTGAAGAAGCAACTTCATTTCCATGATTCTATGTGTGTATAATTCAAAACACCTTACAATTTTTGCTGAGTATCTGTGCTTCCAGTCACTTCTTTTGATGCTTATAAGCCTTATTTAGGGATTTGTCTGGGGCTTTTGCAGAGATCCACCTTTTCTTATTATTTCTGAGTAATTCAAAGACTCTTTTCCTTCCTCTTCTTCCCTTTCCTTCTTAACAGAGATGCAGGGGTGCATTTTCTACTCTATTTTTCAGTATTTAAATATTCAGTACTACCCATTACATTCTGGTCTCATTTGCTTAGTCAGTCCCTTTGAGTGGAGTCTATAACTTTCCAAACGCCAAGCAAGGCTGAAAAGTTCTGTGGGCTACAGGATCCTTTTGTTTCTCATGTCTCTTTTTGTATGCAAAGCATTCATACAAGGCTGGGTAGTGAATGGCTCTTTGTTCAGGAGCTGGTGAGAACAGAGCAGTGGAAGTCTGCAGAAATGCTGTTCTTTACATCAGATGTATCATTAACTCCTCCTAACCCGTATTTAATGGCCTGTTGTTCATGCAGAGTTCTTGCGTTGAGAGATAGGCAGAGGTTTACATCTGGCAATATAACAAAGAGTTATATACTCCTCCAATTTTGTACAGAAAATTGCCTGCTCTTTATTACAGTGTTATGGATTTATATTCTAAAACTCAGCATGTATCTCTCTAGTGGGACTTAAATGCAAATGCCTAATGTTCTGCAAATACATACTTTATATTTCATACAATACTAGGACAATGACATAGTAAATTTTGCTCTAAGAATTAATGGCAAGTTTTGAAAAATGAATATAAAAAATTAATTTTTATTCAAAACAAAAGCTTTCTTTGCATATTTCTCCCAGCAGGGGGAAAAATATCTTTTGTCTGTTGGCTAAGATGTATTTTAGTCAACTTACCTAGCAGATGGCAGTGGAGAGTGAAATCCTCTCCCTTTAGCAACAGGACAGGAGCAGCCGTCATAGTGTGTAATGTACATTATATCAACAGCACGTCTTGATTCTGTCCTGCGCAATCTCCACTGAAAAGGCATCAGCGTAGTTCTCTAAATATCCTCCTATGCTCTTTTTGTATCTTTTTGGTAAGATATGTTACCCAGTGTTATTTGGAAATGCAGGACAGTCTACAGGTCTGCAAGAGCAAATACTGAAACCAACAGAGTTAAATCCAATAAAAATAGGTTAAACTTCACATTTCAGCTTAGCAAAGTAATGGAATTCAACGAGGTGTTTGGCAGTATTCTTCTTAAGGTTTCTCTGGTTTATTCCATCCTTGCAGTAAAGCGGTGGTAAGTACCTCATAGTTAATTGCATTCACTTTGAATTGCAAATGATAGCAATGAGCATTTAGGGTATGACTGAGAGCAGAGAGAGGCCAGGTAGGATTAAGTGGTAAATTTGGGTATAGCCGAGAGTCAAGAAAGAAGGTATCTATTAAATTTTACAGCTTCAGTAGTGTTGATCCCAATAAAAGGAGCATGGGCAGGGTGTGAAATTGCTTGGGAGAATACAGGAGAAAGCACAGAGACCATTGATGCACCAAAAATTTCAGAGCAAGATTGACAGCTATTCTTGTACTAAGCAGTGGTTCCTCTGTGAATGCTCCTGTTGTGATTCACTGTGACCACCGAGGGATCGAGGTGTTATTCAGCATGTTTTAGAAGTGGATTTTTACCCCATTGTCAGTTTAGCTAAGCATATTTTTCTTTAGATGTTAGGATTAGCTATGTGAAATTGCAATGGCAAAATGGGTTATCCTGTATGTACCTCAGTCTCTAAGGACCCTTTCCATTTTTAAGAAGCCCTTAAAACCTACTGTCATACTTCTGCTGTCTTATAGGATGAGCAAGATTGTTTCAGGATAACTGAGAAGAATTTGGGCCCTTTAAAACCATAAGTTTGCAAGGTTTTATGCATGTGTTATGCCTTATTTTTCTGGACAGAAAAAATGCTGAGATTTCTGAAGTCTTTACCACTGATGTGGGAACTCAAGTTCAATGAGAGACAGTGTATTGGTCAGACTAAGCTACTGCGGTCAAGCAGTCATGATTTTGTTCTCAGCTTTGTCACAGATATGTGGTAACAACTGCAGCAAATAATTTTTTGTTGTGTCTACCTGCAATGTAGTTGGAGATGCACGATCTGGTTTTAAATGAGCTGTTTCAGATAATGCAAGTGGTCTTACCGCAGTACTCTCAAGGCTAAGTAAGCCCAAGCTGACCTCCTTATGACTGTGGGTATGCTGCTCCTATCAGAGGGATTACTTGTTTGCCTTTATTAGTTTGGGTTTACTTTGCAGTGCACTGGAAATGTATGCAAACCCTTGATCTCTCTCTGCCTCAGCTTCCCCATCCACAGTGGAATTGTCCGACATTAAGCCCTTGTCATAAGATTGTTGAAAGTTCAGTTCTTATTTTAAAGTATTGTGGAGTTCTGAGATTGTGAGCCATGGTAGAATATCAATATGAGGGTGGTGCTAAAACATGTTCTTTACAATCTAGCAGATCTGCTGGTGAGAGCGAGCTTGAATTCAGTTTCACTGGCTGACTTTCTGTACAGATCTGGGATTCTTACCTATGAAGCCTCAGACGGATACTTTAGAGGAGCATGAAACTACCACCTCTTATTTTTATCCTTTGAAATATTTTGGATTAATTTTTTACAGTTCTGACATGAACCTTCTGGACACAAACCAACAGCCCACTATATTTTCTCTATCTGATGTTACTAGGATGTTGTAGCACAAACACTTAAAGATGCACTTGTTCTCCTAACTATTCAGATTAATTGCAGGTGCCTGACACAATTAGTTGAGCACAGAATGTGTAAAATCAGCTTGCCTTATTCTGGACTGTGAGTAATTGTCTGCCTTCATTAAAGCTGCCTGTAAGGAACCATGAAATTCTTTATGGAGCTGTATATCTGAAACAATAGGCACTCCCATTGAAAATGAAGTGCATAATCCTGCCTTCAAGGCACACGCGCTGCCTGTGTAGGTAAGAGATTTTGCTTTGCGCTGTTGGAGTTGTGCCCATGGTTTCCTCTTTCCCAGTGGCACTTTCACAGCGCCACAGGCCATTCCCACTTGTGACAACTGTGTCAGTAGTTTTGGCAAAAGTGGGCGCTTGCCACCTGGAAAACTTTGTGTGAAGTTACACTTGGAGTTAGAAGGAATGACAAATACTAGAGAAACAGAAGCTATATTGGAGAAAGTGGTTGTGTTACAACCTCATTGCATACTGGAATATTGCTCTGGGAAAGGATGGAGTGAACACAGGCAGAAAGGGTCTTGGAGCTGTGAGCAAAGAAACTGTTTTGGTTGACGACTCCTGTGTGCAGGCTGCTTCATGTAAATTAACAAATTAGGGTGGAAGATACTGGCTGTCTCTTTATTTCTTTTGGAAGGAAAAAATTCCTAATCTCCAAGCTCCTTAATTTTGCCCAACTGTTAGATTCCATATTTGTAGTTTGAGCTAGAAACACTTTTTAGTTGTTTATGATAATTGTATATGAATTATACTATTTGGGATTTTGCTTTTATTCAATAGAGGTTCCTCTAAACACCTATCTCATTTTTCCAGATATGGAAACCTGGAGACCTCAAACTGTGAAGAAGTTGGAAGCCAGAATTCCTCCGAATCCAAAACAGTACTCAGGACGTAAGTGTGGTTTTGCACTGTACAGCGAGCCCTAGTTGGGATTTGGTATTGGAGGAGGATGTGGGCAGCATAGCTGTTGTTTCCTTTGAAAATTCACAGCACTGTTTGCGTACTTAAACAAGCTTGTGTAAAGGCCAAATATCAACTGTCTCGTAATGTATCCAATACTATAACCCAGAGATCTTTCCATCAGGGAAATTGTCTCAGAATTAAACATGAGATGAACACATTTAGGCTAACATTTTGTTGATTAAACAAACAAGGAGTGTTTGTTTCCCCTGCCTTATCTGTAGCAGTAAATGATTATTGCTTATGACTGACGTGCATTACAACAGTGTCTGCAGACCAAAGCTGAGGTTGTTTCAGGCAACGTGTGTATGCATGTATCTTTTCCATTAGTGCCTCTATGGTTTACAGTGTTGCTTTTAGAGTGAAATTTAAATTCTGAAGTCGTTCTAATTTGAAGAAAAATAGCAAAGCTGTTTTGAAATGCAGTTTAAATGGGGGGGGAAAAGTGGTTTGGTTATCCTCCTAGCATCATATGAAACTGCGTTTTATCTTTAGACTTTGGGTGTAGAATGGGCCTTAGGTCATCAGCATTTGTACTTTGACATCCGTATGATCTGTGGTTTGCATGCATCATGGCAGTAAAAAGGAACTGCATCGTTATATTTGATTACAGTATGTGGTGATGCTTGATTCTTGTCAGCATTACTGAAGATTGTTTTTCTATGAGTTTATCTCAGCTTCCACCAATTAAGAAAACCTTAAATTTTTTATCAGTGCACTGATTTCTCAAGGTGAAATTGAAGAAGCAGCCTTTAGTTTCCTTTTGTTTTGAGATGGAAGAAAAATGTTGAACTTTTCTATCATGAGATACATCCAATCAAGACAGAGAAATACACTGCAGTATTTTCATTCCTGGGATTCAGGCAGACTGTTGATTCAAGTCACATTCTATTCTACAACATTGGGCCTGCCCTTCCCACTGCTTACCTCCATGCTTTTCTGATGGCCTGTGTGTTGGGATAGGGGGGTTTCAATGGCTTAAAATGGTTCAAATATCCCCATCCAGAAATGTGCCATTAACATAGTGAACACCTTCCTGTCCTCCATTGTCTGAATGGAGTGGTTAGACAGTGGGGTCGCTTTGCCTTCTGTCAACCATGCAGAAACTGTTTTGTTTAACCACCAGAGATAAATTGGTAAAAGCTCCTTGGCTGTGAGCGTTTCAATAGCTGTCTCTGAAAACACAATGAATTATGCTTGCTTGACTGCAGAAGAAATGTAGAGCTTAATTAATGTCTGTAAATGATACAGGATTCTCAAAGGCTTTAGTTAGAAACAAAATGTTACCGCTTGTTAATTTATTTTTTTTTTAGCACTTAGCAAGGGCAGAAAGCTACAAGCTCTGATGATTTGGGCTGTTCCTCTTGCCCCGTGAGACTCAACATGGGAGCTCAATTCTCCTGGATGGCATAACAGAGAGCTATCAATGTTTTTCTCCCACTTTGCCATGAGAACTCACCAAAGAACAGCTGGTAGTTAAAACTTGGTCACAAGCACCAAGAAGGCAATATTATGTAGTGGGTAGAGGTGATAATAGGCAGCCAGCGGGTTCCCACACTCCCATCCAAAATGAGCTCTAGGGTCTCTTCCAGCTTTGGGCAGACCATTTGACCTCCCTCTATCTCAGTCAGTGCAGCCATAAAATATAAGCTAAAGCAGTACCCTTTCTGCAAAATAGATTAAGGATTTATATTGGGGATGAGGAAGATAATTTCACCAGTATAAATCATGTCGGGATTAATCTCCCTCCTGCCTTTTCATGGACCCAAAGGAGCTTGATTATGAGATGGAGAAAAAAGGGGTGAAAGTAATCTTGATGTTAGTGTCACTCAGGCTTTGGACAAAATGTGTCAATTTTTTGTTATGTCTAGAGGTGAGCGTGCAAGTGAAATAGCATTTAGTTAGGAGCATGTTTGGTTTTTTGTGGTTTTTTTTTTGTTTTTTTTTTTAATGGAATTGTTTTCCTACTGACATACATGTAGTTTATCATCTATCCCCTACCTAGTTGCTTCCTGCTGCATCAATGCTGTCTTCCCTCTTGGCATGTAATCGTCATGTAACGGCTTTGCACAGCCAGGGACTGAGAAGTGGATGGAGTCTGTGGTTTTATTCCTGTGGTAGCACAAGATGAGTTTATCTGACGTAACTTTCATGGATATAGTCGGCACAGCTGATTTTGATCCTTTGGTCCTTGTAAGATACCTTTTATGTCTGAATTTCATACCTGTTACCCAACTACTTATTTATAGAAAGCTCAGCAATGAAGTTGTCAACAAAGTAATTTTTCAGGTATACGTGTTTTAACAGATCCTGTATAAATGTGAATTCACTTTCCTGCCTTAAAAATTTCCATTGCTTTCAGTTGCTCTGGCTACTTCTCTCTTAGATATGATTAATGGTATCTAGAAAAGAGGTTGGCTTTGTAGTCCTGTTGTGAAACACGTAGTTCTAGTAGTTCAGGTTTTCTCGTGTGGGATAATTCCAATATAATTGCATTTACACTCTTTTCTCATAGAACAGAAACATGATATAATTGCGCTCTCAGTTTTGTATGACTTGGAGAAATAAGAGGAAGAAGCAGTAGAGCCATGTTACTTCTTGCCATTAACTCTGTATTTCTCAGAGGAAAAATATCTGTGGGGAAGCCCATGGTCTGTGGCCAGAGAACTTATGCATTCGTCAGACTCATGTGACAGTTCAGAAGCTGTAAAAATCCATTTGGGGCATTAGAAATGGGGATGCAATTTAAAGCATTGCCACTGGTTTGACACAAAAAAACAATACAGAAGTTAAACACAACTGCAGGAGAAGAATTTATGGCTCTTTACATGTCTCATGGAGCTTTAAAGAAGAAAGGGTTTTTGCAAAATCTTAGGTATGTATGGGAGGAATATTATGTTGCATGTGGTGTACTGTAAGCCCACAGGTTAGTGATTTCTATGTTGAAATTCTCTGTGCTTTTTGCACTTGTTGTATAGAGCTGTGATGTGATTTGAGAAGGAAAATGCCTTATGTGTGTGTATACATATACACATTTAAAATTATTTTAGCATTCCACCCAGTGTTCAGGTAGCTCAGGACCTGCAAGTCCTACACTAGGGCTTGAGCACACTCATGGCACAGCCTTATTTGAGAGACTTGTAGGAGCTATAAACCTACCCTTGTGTTTCCAAATTCTGGGTCTGAGCCAGCAGTTACTTCTCACACTTGTTGCAATGACATATAGTTGTTACTGACCCAAGATCACTTCAGCTATGTTGGGAAACATGCCTTCTAAGGGTCCGTTCTGCCAAGGGGATTTTCTCCTGTTCACTTAAGCATCATTCCTATAATTTTTGGGCAGCTGGAGTGGTCAAAAAAATTATTATTTTTCAGCAGGGATCGGACTTAATTACATCTAATTCAAAGTATCTTTCAGGCTTTTTATTATTATTGCTCTTCTCTTTAAAACTTCATTCAGTATTACACAGTTTAAACAAAGGTACTGTAATTTTTTAACTTTAAAAATACACAGACAGTTTGGACCTCAGAGTTATGAGTAAGCTCTGAACGCCACCAGAAGTTTTGTGAGCTTAAAAAAACTTGCCATGCATGACTCTGAGGTTTTTGTTATGTTTTTTTTTTTTTTGTATCAGGACCCACCTTGGCTTTTCATGTTCAGTAGGTTGCTTTCCACAGTTCTCACTACTTTCAGTCAGTCAGAAAGTTCATGATCACAAGTAACAGAAGAATAAAGTCCAGAAAAGGTCAGATATTCCAGTCAACTGTCTGAGTTAGATGGACTTCAGCCTGTGTTTCCAGAAATACAATGCCATGCCTCTCTTAATTGTCTGATAAGAGAGTTGTAAGGAGTTACTTGACCCTCTGTCTCCTCCTATAAACAATTCTTTTTGCTCTTCCTTGCATCATATAAACAAGATTGCCTGGTGCTGTTTCTCAGTTCTGCATGGTTTTGTATTGAGGTGTGACAGATTTGCCTCCTCATCTTAGGTCATCATTCTCTTCAGAGTTCTCTGTGTTCACTACGTATTTTTTAGCTTAGGACTTCTGTTGACTTTCAAAAAGAAAAGAGTAGATATAACACACCAAGACATGTGTCAATTCAGAATAAAGCCATACATATGCTGAACATAAATAAAAATTATCGGTATGATGAGTAGCTTTAAGAATTAAAGAGAGATCTATATGATAGTGTACCTTACATGTTCTGTAAAGAATTTGTACTATAATTCAGTTATGCTTTTCGTTTTTTAAGTGAGGTTGTATAGTTCAAATGTGTCTTTTGGTACATGTCACCTGACAAAAAGCAAATGAAGAAAGAAAGTAGAGCGAAAAAATAAAGTACTTTCTCTTGCTTGTGTCTGGTGTGAAGACTCTACACAGCTTACCAGCCAGGAGTCATGGGAAACTTCAATGATATAGTCACGTCCAAGAGATCTCAAGCAATTTTACATATTCTGAGAAGGGGATCAGCAAGCCAAACAACTAATGCTGTTTGGGGACTTCAGTTCTACTGAAATGGTTGTGTGTATTGCCTACAAGATAGTTAGAAACAATGCTTTTGGTGATATGAGCTGATCACTGTGATCTCTATTCAGAGCAGGAGAGTTTCTCAGTTAGCTTTTAACTCACTGTTAAAAGGCTGAGTTTTCTACGCAGAATGATCTGTGAAATAATTTGTGCCCTTCTTCCCTCCCCCTACTGAAAGATGGTGTTAATTTTGATCTCTGGGCAATCCACTGCTGGCAGACAACTATACCCAAACCACAGACTTATGAATTTTAAGAGGTGATGTATTAAAGGAGCAGAACACTTCTTTCGCAGAAGATAAGCATTAAAGACCTGGCTGGAGCTGGCTGAGGACAGAGAAAGAACCATAAAGCCTTTGCAGTATAAAATATCATAGTTGCTTGTACCTTTTGGAAGTCAAT